TTAGGCAGAATGGTGGGAGACAGAGCAAGTTTCCATGGGTTAAAGATTAAGCCAAGATGGGACTTCCCTGGTGGTCCAGGGGTTAAAAATCCACCTTGCTATGCAGGGAACAGAGGTTCGATCCCTGGTCAGGGAACTAAGATCCACATGCCGTGGAAGAACCAAGCCTGCATGCTACAACTACTGAAGCCTGAGCAGTCTGGAGGCCACAACGAGAGGGCCTGTGCGCCTCCAGGAAAGATCCCACATGTCACATCCAAGTCCTGATGCAGTCAAGTAAATAAATATACATTTTTAAAAGCAAACTAAGTGTTCGGCTTAAAAGTCTGTTTCAAACAAAAATGTTTTGGAAAAAAAAAGACTGAACCAAGAGGAATGCAAGCAGACAGGTCAGAGGTAAAGGTGTCTAGGAGAAATTACAGGCATGCTTGTGTTTGAGAGGCAGTGATGGTCATTACATGGAACAAGTATGACTTAATTATGTGCTATACACATGATGGGATAATAAGAAATAAGATAATATTTTCTTATGATAATGTGTATTTTCAGGAATACAGAAACCGGTGATGCATGTGGTGGTTCGAACCTTAAGGGTCAGTTTCATCTTTTTTGTGTTACTTCACGCTTGCAAACCCATGAGATGCTTCCCTTTAGGTACCCTGCTGAGTAACAGCCACTAAAAACACTCCTGAGATGCATGTCGCCACTTTAATTTGGTAGCTCAGTGTCAAGTGTGAGGATAAAGACGGCCTTATGCAAAAAAAAAAAAAAAAAAAAAAAAAANAAAAAAAAAAAAAAAGCCGACAGTCATCATTCTGAATAAACTGTTATAAAACGAAATTAATAAGCAAACATGAGTTCTGGTCTATGTCCTAGAGTTTACCGTAATCCACAGCATAAACTGCAACTGGACCGGTTCTGTCTTTCATCTTTATATATGTATATAACACTAATGATGGGCTTCCCAGGTGGCGCGCATGGTAAAGAATCAGCCTGCCAACACAGGAGACATAAGAGATGTGGGTTCATCCCTGGGCCGGGGAGATCCCCACAGAAGGGCATGGCAGCCCACTCTGGTGTTCTTGCCTTGAGAATCTCATGGACAGAGGAGCCTGGTGGGCTTCAGTCCATAGGATCGCCAAGCGTTGGACAGGACTGAGGTGACTTAGCACGCATGCAACACTAACAACAGTAGCATCTATATCTACATATGACACATGTGCTGCATACAACCCTGAGCGCTTTACATGCATCAACTCATTCAATCCCACAATAAACCTATAGGAGACATATAACCATCTTCTATAGGTGAGAGAAGTGGGATATGTGAATTGCCTCAGGTTACACTGGGAATAAGTGGCTGACCCAAGGTTGGAACCAAGACAGCCTCAGGTCTGTAGTCTTAACTGACATTATAATTGGTCATTTATATTCCTAAATAGCAAATTACGTTTACATAGTTTTTTTCTCTACTATTGATTTGTTTTTTTAATATAAATTTATTTCTTTTGATTGGAGGTTAATTACTTTACAATATTGTATTGGTTTGTGAAGGGAACTTGTCGTCTCCTTATCAACGGGTCTAGAATGCCATATATTTTAATACTGGGATTACTGTATGTTCAAACTTATTAATTAACAGCAAGTCTCTTGTAATTTCTTTCCAGAGACCAGCAGAGAAAAAAATTAAATTCAAGGGACTTCCCTGGTATTCCAGTGGTTTAGACTCCACACTTCTAATGCAGGGGGACGTGGGTTTGATCCCTGGGTTGGGAAGATCCCCTGGAGGAGGAAATGGCAACCCACTCCAATATTTTTGCTTGAGAACTCCCATGGACAGAGGAGCCTGGCGGGCTACAGTCCATGGGGTCGGAAAGAGTTGGACATAATTGAGTGAGTACTCATGCAGCAGGACACACAGAGGCAGCAGCAACGTTTTCCCCAACCTCGAAACACATTCGTCCTCTGATAATTATGTTCCGGTATCATCTATATTGGGGAAGATCAACCACCTAGGAATTAATCTCTAAATATGTGACGGAAGGATCTTGAAACTCGTAGCCAAGGCTCTACCAGAAGAATAAGGTATTAATAGATCAACGCGTCTCCAGCTACTGCCTAATCTACTGTGCTTCATCCTGCATCCAGCCAAAGAGAGGGTGGATTGGATGATCAGCAACATGTAGACCATGTCAAAGAATGAGAGTCTGCACTATCCAGAAAGGACAGACCACCCGCCGGGAGAGTTGGGGCCCTTCTGCGGTGGTGTCCCAGCAACGCCATCCTTCCNCATGTAGACCATGTCAAAGAATGAGAGTCTGCACTATCCAGAAAGGACAGACCACCCGCCGGGAGAGTTGGGGCCCTTCTGCGGTGGTGTCCCAGCAACGCCATCCTTCCTGTTATGATGACTTTCACTCAGCACCCCTTGAGGTTCTCTGCCCAGAGCTTCACCCCAGCCACTGAAGCCTGCTCTGATCAGGTACCCGTGGGACAGGCTGGATGCGGCCTGGGAATTAACGCCTCCTAGAAGCAATTCTCCACCCATGGCTGACGATAGAAAAATTGTGTGCTTGACTCAGAGTTTCCTCCTCTGAACTGATACGAATCTCCAACTGACCACAGCAGTAATTGGGTTGATACCACGGTCTTCATTGGCTGCCCCTTCTCCACTGTCACATCTTCCCACTTTCCTACCAGTAACTCATTCCCTTTTCCAATAAACTCTCATGCTCACATGTGCTCAGTCATGTCTAACTCTTTGTGACCCTGTGGACTGCAGCCTGTCAGGATCCTCTGTCCCTTGGATTTTGCTGGCAAGAATACTGGAGCGGGTTGCCATTTCTTCCTCCAGGGGATCTTCCCAACCCAGTGATTGAACCCGTGTCTTCTGTGCCTCCTGCATTGGCAGGGAGACTCTTTACCACTCAGCCACCTGGGAATCCCCTTCCAATAAATGACTTACATCCAAATCTTAATCTCAGATTCTGACTTCTCATAGAGTTTCTTTACAAAAATTCTAGTCTCTAGCTCAATTACATTTCTGATTGTATAGCATCAAGTAATTGATGTTTAGTTTGTACATTTGTCTTTTATTGGTTTGGCTAATGGGAGTCAGTCCCCCCCATCCTGCCCCCCAGGACACAGACAACTCTGGGTAGATGGACAAAGTGTAGACACGGAGTGTCAAAAATTAAAAAACTATCACTGTGAGATGTTTTCTCACTTACCTACTAAACATTTGATCTCATCTAACAAGAAGATATATAGATTTGTTTTATCTTGATTTCCTCCCCAAAGCTGGAGAGAAAGAGAGACTCACTGGGGGGAGGGGGATTCATTATTTAATGGGTATGCACATATATTAGGTCTGTACTATGACAACAATTAAAAGGACTATAGTCTGTTTAGGTATTTCTGATGACTATTGTAAGTAAAGGGAAAATCTAAACTAATAGTAATATTGACATAAAGTACAAACAGTTGCATGTCACTCTGGGGAAAACTGTAGTTTAGCAAAAGATCTGTGAACTAAATTCCACAGCTCCTGCCGTTGGGTCTGGTACTTTTCAGAGATGGGACATTAACGCCCCAAGCCTCACTCACTTTTCTGTTTGTGAGATTAGGGTAGGAGGAACAATCTCTGAGGATGGCTGTCATGGGAACCAGGAGAGACAAAACACCCAGCCCAACAGTTATTAAAAAGGGCCTTTTCCCTTGGCTCACAGAAAAACGAAAGAGGAAAATACTTTTGGTGAAATTCCAAGTGTTTTATAGTTGGTTAGAGAGAGAGTTGCTAGACAGCCATATGTAGTGGTCGCAGAGATGACAGAAGTGGATGGTCAGCTCCCTTCCTTTATATGTGCCTTTGGGGACTTTCCCCCCAGTAACAATACCTAATTCATTATGGTAATTATCTTAAAGAGATAGAGTTATATTCTGTTTGTGTGATTCCACGTCCAGTTCACCTCGATTGTCCTAGAAACCTGGGAGGAGCCATAATCAGCATGCACCTTCTACAGTACGGATCTTTGCAAGACTAAGAGGGAACCACGGTGACCCTCATCCCCTCCCCTGGATCCGGTTCAGGTGAGCACTGGCAACATTCTGCCCCTGGGACTCTCCTTTTTGCAGTTTTACCTTTGTAACAAGCCTCTATCTGCCTCATTCTTCCTTTATGTTGCTTATCCCTGGGGGCTCAGACGGTAAAAAATCTGCCTGCAATGCAGGCGACGTGGGTGTGATCCCTGGGTCGGAAGATCTCCTGGAGAAGGCCATGGCAACCCACTGCAGTATTCTTGCCTGGAGAATCCCATGGACAGCGGAGTCCATGGGGTTGCAAGAGTCGGACGTGACTGAGCAACTAACAGTAACAAGCGTGTGTCTGGGTCTCAGATCCACTATGAAAACAGAGTGTATAGCTCATGTTACTGTGTAATTAACTTGGAGTGTATCTAACTGCTTTTTTCTTTCTTCAAGTCTCAGGTGATACTTACTTCCTGGATCAATTTTTATCAGTAGAGTAATAAAAACTGGAAACTGCTTGGTTGAAGCAAACCCTTTCCCTGTCTTCAGAGAATCTTGTTTAGTGTCTATCTTCTTTTACCAATAGGATGCTGTGTCCTTTCACATACATACACAGGGACTGCATTCAGAGTACGAGGTCATTACCAACCCAATTGTATATGGCTAATTGTATAGGTCTAATTGTATACGTATATGCATACATGGATATGCTAATTGTGGGGAAGGAAATGGCAGCCCACTCCAGTACTCTTGCCTGGAGAATCCCATGGGCAGAGGAGCCTGGTGGGCTACAGTCCATGGGGTTGCAAGAGTCGGACATGACTTTGCAACTAAACCACCAACAGCACTACCATGTGCTAATTGTATATGGCTTTTTGTATATCTTCTTCTTAACAGAATGTTTTTAAAGGAGAGGTGGAATAAGAAAAGCAGATAACGCAGGTTGCAGGCAGAGAGCTGTGAGCACTGCTCACCTCCACAGACCACGCCGTCCAGATCTTCACAGCGACGATCGTCACACTCACAGGCCCTGCCGTACACCCTGCTGTCTCCCGGCGGGTAGCAAGTGCACTTGCCACATTCACACTTACCTGCAAAACACACGGGGAAACACACGCATCAGCAGACTCGCGGAATCAGGAAGACCTCTCAGGAGAACAAGCATCTGATTAGACCCAGACCTCCTGGATCAATATCTAGTCTGTGCCTGCTACAATTCAGGAAATACCTTTTCCTACATCCCTGAGTTTAAGCTGAGGGTCGAGCATAAATGCCAAGGAGGTTGAGCTGGAGCTGAAGTGACAGCTCCTGGCTCACAGGTGACTCCCGTTTCCTACTTTCCATGTTCTGTTTCATTCATTTTTGAAGACTGATTTCAATGATGAAACTCCCTGGATATTCCATATACCACGTATGAGGAGACCATTTAACATAACTGAATCAATTTTATTTATTCTGACACAATTTGAACTAATATGGTCATTAAAAAATATTTTTAATTTGGGTCTGTCTGCCACATAAGAAAAAAAAAAAAATCTCATGGAAACATTTCAACCTGATATTTTAGTGGTGATTTGGTGTCAGTTTTTGAGTTCACAGAATTCATCTTAACATGGAACATGGGTCAGAGTTCATGTCCTAAATACCCTTATTAACCTTGACTTAAAGATTAAAAGTAGAAACTTGTTTTGGAATTGAGTTTGGTTCACAGATTGGGAATTTCTTAATTATTTTCCTTATGACTTTCGTCATTATTTCCTGAGCTGTAACTATGCCGCAAACACTATAATTTCTTCAATTCCATCCTTTTGTATTCATGATACCACACATGCACTAACATTATCACTATCATTTTACTAAACAGGAGATGGAGACATATTGAGGCCAAATAACTTTCTCTGCTGAACCAGCTCTCAAGGGATAGATTCCAAATTTATATCTATTCTCATCATACTTAAAGTCTGTGCATCTAAACATTCGGCCATACTGTATCTTAATATATCATAGCGGAGCTCCAGGAGGCTGTATGAGAAAGCACAGTTCTTTTTTCCTGAGGAATTGGGACTGGTTTGCCAGGAATTCAGCCGAGTGGCTACTCGAGGACATCTGTTAACTCCCTGTCATTATCCCAACCATCATAATTACACACCCACTGAAAGGATCATAAGATACTTCAGGGCTGACCCTGCAATGTTGTTAGTCATTCTGTTACTGCATTTGTATCATGTTAAAGAAATTCTGAGCTGGGATATGATAGGAAAAAGAAAAATTAGTATTTAGAATCATATCACTTCGGAGTTGTAATTAAAGAAAATCTAATGCAGTGATTCATAATCTTTTCTGGCAGAAGTGGCAGGGTCATGGTCCCTTTGAGAATCTGGTGAAAGATACGGCGATAGATAGTGTTGTTCTGGCCGCCCTTCAACCCGTTTTTCTACCTGGAGGCAGAGCTGAGTTCAGCAGGAGACAGAGCCCCCCCCACCCCAGTGGCATCCCCTCTCCCAGGGGGCTGGCAGACTGCGCAGGGACACACCAGACGCCCTTAGTCAGGGCGTGGATTCTTGAGGGTGAAGGCACGGCACGGGGACCGCGGCAGAGTGGCGAGTCTGAGCGCACAGCGGTGGCTTGATGCAGGGAGGCTGAAGCTCCGAAGCGATGGCCGGTTCGTGGCAGGGCCTTGCTTCCCTGGGTCGCTGTGTGAGGGGACTGTCCGAGCTTGCACTCTGAGCCCAAGCCCTTGGAACAAAATATTTTTTTCATCTCAGTGAATGAAGTTGGTGTCCGTTGTTAGCAATCAAGAATTCTAACTGGTAGACCCCAGATCCGTCCCTGGGAAAACATATACCAGCATGCATTTATTTTTAGTAAAATGTCATGAGGATCCATGAGTTTCTACAATTTATTTAAGAGATGAGGAAACTCAAGTACGCTGAGGTTAAATGGCTTGCCGAAGGCCAGCAAAGTAGACATTAGCCATATAGCCATGTTGGTGTTAGAACCCAGATTTTCTGAGCTCTGCATAATATTGCCTGCTGTGCATAAACACACTGGCCCTGTCACGGGTAGATGTGTGAATGACGACAGTGATCCGGACTGTGGGCAGAGGCAAACTACATACAGCAGCAGTGAGCATGGTTGACTAGTCCATGGTGGACAGACGTGAGAAACGTGAATCACACCATTCCTGAGACGTAATCCTTCCCTGGTTACCAGGACAACATCAATTCTTAAGTTTGAGGATGTATGTGTTTATGGTGACCATTTCATTAACATGTTGAGGCATATAAGAAGTTTCCTGACTATGTATTATTGGTTTCTTTGACAAGCATGAACTAACTACTGGCATATGTGTTTATTTTATTTTTCACTTGAGGAAGAACTTTTTTAATTAATGTACTCAATATCTATGACTTAGTCATAGTTCAAAAGATTAAACAGAAATATCTATCAGATCCAGACTCATTAATAAAATTATGGTATATAAACAAAACAGAACATTAGAGCATATGAGGTTTTTTTTTTCCTTTGGCTGCTCCTCACAGCATGTGGGATTTTAGTTCCCCAACCAGGTACTGAACCCAGGCACTTGGCCATGAGCGTGCAGAGTCCTAACCAGGGAACCACCAGGGAACTCTGCATAGGGGTTTAAATATCTACATTTCACTGGCCGTATATTCCAGAACTTTCTCTGTAAAATTCAACCTAGTGTTCAATAGCCTATTTAAATCTAATCTCCTCCATAAACCCTTCCTCATTCTCCCTGATTCGTTTAGTCACCTGTCAGAATGCAATCTTCTCTCTGATCCCACAATACTGAGTCCACACCATTAGTAGATCACTGAATGCAAACTTTATACTAAATACACGCCTGAGCACTACTGTAAGTGGTGATGTCTTTGTTTCAGGCTGTGGGTGGGTTCATGCAGTGACAGACTTTATTTTCTTGGGCTCCAAAATCACTGCAGATGGTGACTACAGCCATGAAATCAGAAAAGGCCTGCTCCTTGGAAGAAAAGCTATGTCCAACCTAGACAGCATATTAAAAAGCAGAGACATTATTTTGCCAGCAAAGGTCTGCATAGTCAAAGCTATGGTTTTTCCAGGAGTCATGTATGGATATGGGAGTTGGGCCATAAAGAAGGCTAAAAGCTGAAGAATTGATGCTTCAAATTGTGGTGTTGGAGAAGACTCTTGAGAATCCCTTGGACAGCAAGAAGATCAAAGCAGTCAATCCTAAAGGAAATAAACTCTGAATATACATTGGAAGGACTGATGCTGAAGCTGAAGCTCCAGTAGTCTGGCCACTTGATGCAAAGAGCAGATTCCTTGGTAAACACCCTAATGCTGGGAAAGATTGAAGGAGGGGGGGAGAAGGGGATGACAAAGGATGAGATAGTTGGGTGGCATCACCGACTCAGTGGACATGAGTTTGAGCAAACACTGGGAGATGGTGAAGGACAGGAAGCCTGGAAGGCTTGGAAGGAAGCCTGGCCTGCTGCAGTCCATGGTGTGGAAAAGAGTCAGACACGACTAAGTGACTGAATTGAACTGTGGGTGGGATCTGTAACTGTATAATATCTGTGATAGATATTATTATTTACATATTTATAATTTAAAAACATGTTGAGAAGTTGTAATTTCAATAACTCACATAAAATCCATTCCTTTCTATTTCTCCCCCCAAAAAATCAACTATATTTTCTGATCCAGAATGAGATTATTTAAGAGGAGCAACATATCATCAAAGGCACCTGCCAGCCTGGTAACAGCAGTAACACTCTCTTCAACCTTATTTTCTTCCACTTTTTAAAACGGCAAAAACCACACTTGCATACAGGCTCAACAGTGGGAGAGTAATTAGAGGCTCACATAAAACAGAAAAGAGATTAGCACTTCACTAACACAGTCGTCCTTCGCCTAAAATAATAGGTTTACCATAGCAACCTGATTGCACCAGGAAAAGCTCCTGCCAAATGCATCTGAAGTTCCCTTGAAATTTCCACAAGGAGGAATTAAACACTTGAGAACTATAATATTCTGTACCATTTCATCTAAATACAAATATTTTGTGTTTGAGAATAAAGTCATCTTCCATCAGACAAATTTACAGTGAAGAGGCACCTTCACCTACTGCTTCAAAGTGAGCAGTAAGATGTCTTATAATTCAAGCCACACTGACACCACTTCAACTAGTCAAGGAAGAGATGCTGGTGACTTTTTAAAAACGAGGATAAGTGTCTATCCTTCCATTCATGTTTTCTTAGTATACAAGGATTAAAGTAATCAATCACAGAGCTTTGTGCAGAAGGTAAAGAATCTGCTTGCCAATGCAGGAGACTCAAGAGATGAGGGTTCGATCCCTGGGTCGGGAAGATACCATGGAGGAGAAAATGGCAAGCGGCTGCAGTGTTCTTGCCTGGGAAGTTAAATGGACAGAGGAGCCTGGTGGACTACAGTCAGTGGGATCTCAAAGAGTTGGACACAACTTAGTGACTGAGCATGCACGCAAGACATTTAAGCAAATGATGTACTAATATCATTTTCTGTTGTCTGTCTAGAGTGTCTAAAACTGAAATTGCGATATGGGAGCACCGGACTTCACTTTTCTGTAAAGCTTTCCCAAGGTCTTGAGGAGACTATCACAGAGGAAGTCTATTAAGACCTTGAAGTAAGATGATCTCATTATTCACCCTTAAGATTAGTTTCTATAACAACTAAAATTACTCAATTCAGTTATTTCTAACAAAAGTTTTATAAATTAGGTAGCCATATCACACTCATTTACCAGTATAACCCAGAAACTAAGCAATAGTTTCAAGGTTAAAAAAAAAAAAAACAAAAACAGAATGAATGGAATTGGAAATGTGGAGCTTGAGTAATTAATCAATGTGGTCAATCCCAAATGAGGCAATATAAAGGAGAAAGGGAATCTCCTTCTTCCTAGCTGGTAAATCTATTGGGCCAGACAGTGGGTGGCACCTTGCTTCACAAAGTTTAGGGATTCTGCAAGCAAAAATCAGCCAGAAAAAGAAAGAAAACTCAGTCAGTTATAGTGAGGTGAATGAACCTAGAGTCTGTCATACGGAGTGAA